TATATAAAAAACGTACTTACAGTCTGTGAGTCAGAAGCGCCAGACTGTCCTTGCAAAGTTGGAACTGCCCCACTTTATAGAAACAGCCTTTGTGCACAGCATTGTAGGCTAATCTGCAGGTTCAGGAAACGGTCCTCTGTAAAATGCATTGCACACATCTGAATATTTGGGTTAAACTGTTCTGGAACAGTGTTGTAAATACAACTTAACCACTGATTTCTAGTTGTGTCCTCTTTTGGAAGGCCAAACAAAGTAGTTTCGCTTTCACAACAAAACGCACAGCGTCACACACAGTGGGCTTAAGTGAGCGAAGGCCGGCAGGCTTGAGAACGGCGCTGCCAGCGGGCTTGTGACAACCCCGGGCTGGACTCCGCTTCGTCCACGGTGAAAGCCGATCCGGCGATCCACAGCATGAAGTTGATGTACAGTGGTGTGAAAAAGTGTTGGCCCCCTTCCGGTTTTTTTTTTTTTTGCATATTTGTCACACTTAAAAGATTCAGGTCATCAAACTAATTTTAATATTACACAAAGATAATGCAAGTAAATACAAAATGCAGTTTTTAAATTATTATTTATTTTATTAAGGGAAAAAAACTGTCCAAACCTGCCTGGCCTTACGTGAAAAAGTAATTGCCCCCTAAATCTAATAACTGGTTGTGCCACGGTTTGCCGCAACAACTGCAATCGAGCGTTTGCGATAACTGGCAATCAGTCTTTCACATCGCTGTTTAAACATTTCAATCGGATTTAAGTCTGGACTTTGATTTGGCCACTCCAAAACCGTAATTTAGTTTTTCTTGAGCCATTCAGAGGTGGACTTGCTGGTGTGTTTGGGATCATTGTCCTGCTACATAACCCAAGTGCGCTTGAGCTTGAGGTCACAAACTGATGGCCGAACATTCTCCTTCAGGATTTTCTGATAGAGTGCAGAATTCATGGTTCCATCAATTATGGCAAGTTGTCCAGGTCCTGAAGCTGCAAAGCAGCCCCAGATCATCACACTACCACCACCATGTTTGACTGTTGGTATGATATTCTTTTTATGAAATGCTGTGTGGGTTTTTATGCCAGATGTAACGGAACACACACCTTCCAAAAAGTTCAACTTTTGTCTCATCAGTCCACAGAATATTTGCCCAAAAGTCTTGGGGATAATCAAGATATTTTTTGGCAAATGAGAGACGAGCCTTTGTGTTCTTTTTGGTCAGCAGGCCTTTTGCCTTGGAACTCTCCCATGGATGACGTTTTTGCCCAGT